TTTAGGGTTTAGGGGCTTGGGGTTCACGGCTTAGGGGCTTGGGGCTTTTTAGGGCTCCATTGTCTCTGCTAGCCAAGTCTGAGGGCACCAACAACTGGCGCTTTGCACTTCCAAGGACATGTCGCCGACTTGAAGCCTGCTCAAGTGTCAAGAAACACTTCTTCATGTTTGCTAATAAACCTTAATACGATACAATATATTATACTATACTTTAGTATAATACAATAATGCAACAATAGAATACAGAATAATATACTATACCATAATAGTTACAAATAAAAAATTTTGCAATGCAATATGACAGCGATTCAGTCTCTGGATTCCTGGACGTTGAGTTTGCGGGGCCAACCCCTGGGTCCCGGTACTCTCATCCTTGTACTCTAAACCTTGTATCAACTTAGGGCTTTAGGGCTTTAGGGTGGTGTAGGGGCCTGAATGATTAGAAGAGGGTTTTGGGGGGGTATATTATACTCTACTTTTACTCAGGAGCCACCCAAATGCTATAGGTAGTTACCCTACACTTTAAACCCTAAACCCTATTACTAAGGCCCCTACATTACCCCAGGCCCTGTATTTCAAATGCTACATTCCCTGCGAACTAGACGAATTTCCGGCATGGATCTTTCCTGCTTCTAACTCTTTGTTTCCGTCGGGTTTAGGATTTAGGGTTTTGGGTAAACCCAAATCTTAAACCCTAAACCCCTAAACCCTTAAAAACCTAAACCCTAAACCCTTGAACACGAAGAGGTGAAACCCCAAGCCGGTTTACACACCTGCTCGACACCTCAAGCCGTAAACATGGCATCCGGACCTGCGATGTTGGTCACCAGGTTGCCGTAGGAATTCACCATTTGGTCCACCGTCGTCTGGCAACTTTAGGGTTTAGGGTTTAGGGTTTAGGGTTCAGGGTTTAGGGTGCCACGAGCATTTTTGGGTGGCTCAGGGCGTGGCATTGAAGTTTAAACACAGATGGTTCGTGATTGTAAGTAATTCTAGCGGTCTAGCGGGGGAGAAGGTTTGCAAAGGGCCCATTGTTTAAGCATTTGTTATTCATGGATTTAGGCTGTAGGGCTTTGGGGTTCAAGGCTTTGGGCATTTTCGTGTTTCTGGTAGCGTTCGAGGGCTGAGGGTCTTCGAGCTCGTTCGCGCGTTACTTGTGCAACCGATATGCCATAGGCCGTCAAGAAAAGAGTGTCGGCGAGCACAGAGTGGCGGCCAGTGAATTCAGTGCTTGCAATGTTCATGTAGATGAGTGCATGGTCTGACAATGATGATGATGCTGAGAATGAAATCGTGATGATAAAGGTGATGGTGAACTGACAATGATGAAAACTAAGCTGTTCAGTAATCGACTGGGAAAAAGTATATACTTGTTTGGGTTAGTTGTATTATATTAGGAACCAATACCCAAAAAAGGAGACAGAAAAGGGATGATAGCCATGCTAGCGACTGTCGTCCTGAATTCTAGGACTGCTCCGACTGCTGCTGCTTCGGCTCAGCCGCCTCCTCCTCGTCCACCTCCTACTTCCACTGCTACTGCTACTGCTACTCTACTGCTACTGCTACTGCTACTGCCACGGCTCCTTCTACTGCTACTGCTGCTGCTGCTGCTGCTGCTGCTGCTGCTGCTGCTGCTGCTGCTGCTAGTGCTACAGGCGTCCGAAAACCGAAGTCCTTCTCAAAAACTCTGGGCACAGCCTTCTGAGTGTCCATCTTCTGGATGACAGCTTCCTGGTGAGAGCGCATAGCAGGGGTCATGCAATGTTAAACTGAAGGAAAGCCAAAGAATCTGAACAAATGCAGCAAAGCGTGGTAGCAGGCTTGATAGATATTCTCATGAATCGTAGGCATATTGCAGACAGAACATCCGTTCTCGTGAAGTTTCTGAAGATTAAACCCTAAAGTAGAGAGCCTAAACCCAATAAAAAACCCAACAGAGCCTATGTAAAAAAATCGTATAGATGCGCTAAACAACCCTATAGAACCCCAACAAACTTGTAGGACCCTTCAAAGACCCTGTAGACCCTGATGAAGCCCTGTAGAAAACTGCTGCACCTCTCTAGGACCCTCACACAAACCGTTGAAACCTTTGTCAAGCCCTATAGAACTCTCATAAACCATTACACGACCCCCCATAACATCCTATACAATCTGTACACGAGCCGATAAAGCCCTGATAAAACCACAAATGTAAGGGCCTTAAGAATTAGAGTAGGGTTTGGGGCTCCTTTATCGTATAGTTTGTAAAAAGAGCCCGGCGAAATAATCTTGGTGCTTCTATACTTGTAGAACACTACAGAACTCTCAAAGAACACTACACCATCCCTCATAAAACCCGACATACCCCTTCTCGAATCCTACAACGCCCTAATCAAAACCCCCAAACCCTCTGGCCTGTGCGAGGCCCAACGAAACCTCGAACCCTAAACTCTATGGAACCCTAAGCCCTGAAACCCTGAATCCTCTAAAGCCCTAAACCCGAAGCCCTATAATATCCCGAATCCTAAGCCCATAGACCCCCAAACCCTAAACCCTATAATACCCTATACAAGCCTATGAAACCCCAAAGCTTAAACGCCATAAACCCCCTTTAAAACAAAACCTAAACCCCATAACAGCCTATAACACGCCATAAGAGCCTGCAAAGCCCTAAAGCTTAAGCCCCATAACCCCCTTACAAAAAAAAGATCTAAACCCTCAACCCTGAACCCTAAACCCCTAAACCCTGAACCCTAAACCCTAAACCCCTAAACCCTAAACCCCTAAACCCTATGAATCCCCCCAAAAAACAAACTCAAACGTCTCCGGCCTGAGAGGAGTCCAACTTGTGGAGCAGCACTTGGCAAGCATTGACGGTCTGCAAGAGGGAGACCTTTAGGGTTTAGGGTTTAGGGTTTAGGGTTTAGGGTTTAAGGTTTAGGGTTTAGGGTTTTCTGCTTCTTTGTTGGGGCTATGTTGAAAATGATCATTTCTAATCCTTATTGGGTTTATAATAACAAGAATGTAAAGTTGTTGCCAGCAAGGACCCAGTTTTTGGAAGAGCAGGAGGTTTACAGTAGGGGTTTATAGGGGTTTAGGCTTTTGGAAGAGCAGGAGGTTTTACAGTGGATCAAAAGGCGTGTATAGGGGGCTCAGAAGGGATTGTAGGGGATTATCAAGGGTTTATAGGGGATAATAATGGTTTACAGTTATAGGTCTGCAAGAGGGACACCTCCCAGGGTTTAGGCTTGAATATGGGGTTTATAGGGGTTTAGGATTTAGGATCTGGGGGTTTTGGAGGCTTACATGGGTTCATCGAGGATTGGGGCTTAGGGCTTTCAAGGCTTAGGGTCTAGGGTTGAGGGACGCCTCCCAAAGACCCGAAAGGATCCCCATTTTGAGGGCTTAAGGGTTTAGGGTTTGGGGGCTTGATATTTAAGGGTTTAGGGTGTTAGGGTAACCTTAGTTGGGGGTCGGAATTTAGGGCCTATGGGTCCCTTCATGAAGGGCCACTTCATCAAGGAGCCCTTTTGCAGAGATCCCTACGAGAACGCACGGAATATTCGCGTTCGCTTAAAGTGCAGGGTGTAATTAGGGTATAGTTAAAGGAAACTACAGATGGGGAGTTTAGGGTATATAGGGCTTCTATAAGGTATGTAGACCACCTGAAAATGTTCTAGATATAGGGTGTAGGGTTTGGGGATGACTTCAGGTTTATTAAGGGGCAATAGGAGGGACCCCTACAAGGGACCCCTAATCCAAATATCCTATATTACCCTTATATACCCCTGCTATAGTCTCATAAAGCCCCTATATAACCCCAAGGGTCGCTTCAAGGGTCCCTCCATTAGTCCCTTGAGTTTAGTACTTACGAAAGCCTGAGCCCGGAAGACCCATAAACTCTGATCCCACAAGCGCGTTTAGGGTTTAGGGTTTACAGGGTTTAGGGTTTAGGGTTTAGGGATTCGTTTTCAGCCATCCCGCCATCCCTCAGATGCAAAAACACACACAACACTCAAGGCACGGAACCTCGAACCATGGGGGGTAGATTGTAAGAAAGGGGCCTTAATCCTTAGCATCGGGTTCGGACTTCTGCAGGGAGTGTCAGGGATCATACTACTAATTCAACCCTCCCCCCTAGCAGGGCGGCAGTGTCGTGCTTGAGACTTGGCAGCTCCGACGGGGTAATCGGCACAAAGGGTCCAGGTGGCGTCTTGAGATTGATCTCCCCCTGCCTCGGCTGCCAGAGCTTCTGAATCTCCACAAGCCATCGGCACATTGAGTCTGGCCTCGCATTTGGCGCCTGCTGATGCCTCTGCTGTGTTACGCATGCCGCGATGAGCCAAAAACTGCAGAACATCAGCGTGCCAGGCACCAAGAGGTGCGAGCCAGTGGATGCGAGCCGATTCGTCTCTCCGATGCTCCAACCAAGCTCTTGCGCTGGGGGCGATGTCGTAGCCAGGCGTCTGGCGTATGGCTTGGCTCTCAGAAACTTTGAGTTTAAGGGGTTCCTGTTGAGCGTTTCAGGAGTTGGCTGGAGTTTTGGGTTTGGTGTCTGCACCCAAAAACCTCTTTACCCTAATCACCGAAACCCATCAACTCTTTACACAAAAAGCCCTTCAGCTTTCAACAACGACCCTTCGACGCTGAACAAAAATCTTTCCGCTCTGAACCAAAAACACAGATCTCGAACTAAGAACTAAGCCCCGCCCCCCTCTGACAAAAAAAGCAACCCTGCAAACTATGGTATCCTTGAGGGAAGGGGTTTTAAAGAGGGGGGAGTGTACCCGGGAACCTTAAAAGACCTTCGGGAGCACCAGGGGGAATAGGGTTTAGGGTGTAGGGTTTAGGTACCCCCATCGAAACCCCCCTCCCTTAAAGATCCCGCAAGGCCAACGGCTTCTTCCAAACTTTGCACAGACAAGGGCAACCTTAAAATCCCAACAGACGCTCTGTAAAGCAATCTTGCAACCCACATCCTGAGAGGAGTAGTATGAAAGCCCGAGAACCAAGGCAAAGCATAACACAAAATGAGCACCAGTCAGAGCAACAAATCGAAAAACTCAAAAAAGGGTAAACCCCAAACCCTAAACCCTAAACCCCGAAACCCGAAACCCGAAACCCTAAACCCTAAACCCTAAACCCTAAACCCTAAACCCTAAACCCTAAAACCCTGTCAGAAAAAGGGGTGGCCTGGGAGAAGTCCATCCTCTGGGAGATGGCCTCCTGGGGAGCAGCGCGCTTTTTTAAGAAAGGCGGCAGTAGGGCAGGGTTTAGGGGTTTAGGGGTTTAGGGGTGTAGGGGTTTAGGGTTTAGGGTTTAGGGTTCCGGGGTTTAGGGGTTTAGGGTTTAGGGTTCGGGATGTTTGAGTAGAACTTAGGGCGGAAAGCTTCGGATTTCCAGGCTTAGGAAGCTTTCGGACTTGTAGGTTTGGTATGGGCCGGTTTAGGGTTTAGGGCCTAGGGTTTAGGGTTTTGAAGTTACAGGTTTAGGGTTTGGAATGCTGAAGCGATTCAGTTGAGGGTGTTGTTAGTCTAAGCTTTCGTGCCAGTCGGCGTGCTGTTCTTCATGACTGCGACGCAGAAACTTCTGAAGACCACAACCCCCTGCGCCACAGAGTTAGTGTATCGGAGGGAGGGTAACTTCAAGCCCCAAAGTTCAAATCCTCAAAGCGGGCGTGCCTGCATGGCATCCAACTGCCGCTGCATGGTTTCCTCCATCATGTGCATCTTCGTCATGATGGAGTCCTGCAGCAATGAGGATCTAGGATTTAGGGCTTCGTCGGTAGCCCTACAGCAATGGAAACAGTCGTGAGAAGGTTGCAGGGCTTCGTCCAGGTAAGATCTAGGGTTTTCCCAGCAGGGTTTAGCTGCGCCAGCACTTCTGCTACTTTTTCAACCTATCTCGTGCCCACATTTCAAAGTTCAGGAAACGTAACTGCAGGCAGTGAAAGCGCGACTCCAGAAACCCTAAGCCCCAGACTAAAATATAGGGGCCTAGATAATCATCAATACTCTTTTGGTGGTTCCTTCTTGTGATTTTCGCGACATAACCCTAAACCCTAAACCCTAAACCCCCACTGAAGCTCCAAAGACCACCCCAAACGGTGCTCCCCTCTTCTGCCCAGAACCCCCAGCCCTACAGGGCTGATATGGAGGCCTAAAGTCGGTTTAGAGTTTAGGGTTTTGGGTTTTGGTTTAGGGTTTAGGGTTTAGGGTTTAGGGTTTAGGGATTACTCTTAGGGCTCCTTATTGCGATTAAAGTACAATGGGACCCCACCTTATAGTAACCCCCCCCCCCCCCACTTCAGGGCCGATATAGAGGCCTAAAGAATTACCAATCTTACTTCTAGGGCTCCTTACTATAATTAAAATGTAATGGGGCCCCAAAACCCTACTCTAAGTATTAAGGCCCCCATATTATAGAACCCTTAGTCTAACCCTTATAGTATCCCTTTTAAGGTATAATGGGGCCCCACCTTAAAGCAACCCCTCACTTCAGGGCTTGAGGTTTCTGAGGCGGAGTGGGGCTTCGAGTTCAGGGTTTCAGGGGGCTGGGATTTAAGGTGCACAGCCTGGCGGAATCTAGGGCTTCTTTGTCATGTATTTAGGGTTTAGGGTTTAGGGTTTAGGGTCCTTGATAATTAGAATAGGGTTTGGGGGTATATTATGCTATAATTATAGTAAGGAACCCCACAAAATAGTATCGGGAATTATTTAAGCCCCTATAGTCCAGGGTTTAAGGTGCAAGGTTTAGGGCTTGGAGTTCAGGGCTTGAAGGTTTTAGGGACAGGAACATGATTACGACATGTTCAAGCTTTTACGTTGCCGCTACGAGGCCGAGGGAACCCCTGACCCCAACCCTGAACCCCACTCTCAAGTTTAGGGTTTAGGGCTTAGGGCGTGGGGTTTAGGGCTTAGGGTTTAGGGCTTAGGGCTTAGGGTTTAGGGTTTAGGGTTTAGGGTTTAGGGCTTAGCGGCTTAGGGTTTAGGGTTTCTAAACCCTAAACCCCAAACCCTGAACCCCAAACCCCCAAATCCTAAACCCTAAAACCCTAAACCCTAAACCGGGGCTTAGGGTTGAGGGCTCAGGGTTTGGGGCTTTAGGGTAACCTCCCGGAAGAAACCTGGAAAGGCATCATCGCTCGGCTGACGGCCGCCTGGGCGGTTGAGCTTTGAAGCTTTTCAGGCTGTTACGGTTTCGAGTTTAGGGGTTTAGGGGGTTTAGGGTTTAGGGGTTTAGGGGTTTAGGGGCTAGGGTTTAGGGGTTAGGATATAGGATTTAGAGTTTAGGGGTTTAGGGGTTTAGGGGTTTACGGGTTAGGGTTTAGGGTTTAGGGTTTAGAGTTTAGAGTTTAGGGGTTTAGGGTTTAGCGGTTCAGGGTTTAGAGTTTAGGGGTTTAGAGTTTAGGGGTTTAGCTTTGAGGGTTTAGGGTTCTCCCCTAGACTCGAGACCCTAAATCCTAAACCCTGGCAGTGGCAGGGGAGCTTATATACACGTCGGAATAATTGGAAACAGTGTCCCTATACAGCCGGTTCTGAGGGTGTCTGCACTGATTCTATAGGCATTGATATAAGGTTTCATGGGATGTTACAGGATTTGATCAAGGGCTTCATATGGGGGCCCCCCTACAAGTAGAAACCCGTTTTAAAATCATTGCTCATATCAAACCCTACAACACCATGCAATCATCAAGGCTTCGACCTTCAACTCTCTATCAATCCCTACGTCACCATACTCTGGCCAAACGAACCCTGTAAAAGCATCATGAAACCCAAGAGCTCCTTTCCAAAACCACCTAAGCGCCCTGGAAAACAACGCAAACCCAAATGAGAGCAAAAGCCATCTACCGTAAACCCTAAACCCTAAACCCTAAACCCTGAACCCTAAACCCTGAAGCCTAAACCCTATCTACCTTAGTCAGGCCCTCAGCCCTATTGGCTCCAGGGCCGGTTCCAGAACGGGCCTGTGCATTGATGGTTTAGGGATTAGGGTTTAGGGTTTAGGGTTTCGGGTTTAGGGTAATGGGCCCTTTTTCCGTAACAACAGAACTAATGATCATAGTGAGAGGTCAATCGTACTCATAATGAAAATAAGCATAGCAACATTGCATTTTACAAGGTCTTATACGTATCAACAGGGGCTTTAAAGGGTCTGAGATCCGGGACTTGTTCTGTGTTGCATGTATCTATATATATATATATATGTATATGAACTGTTGCAGTATATACTGTCAACTATAACATGTGTCATCTTGTTTACCCATATATATATATAGATAGATAGATATACATATTTCTATAAATCAACACATATTTCTGATGTTGTTGTTATTATCAGTTTGAATGTTGATATAAGCATATATATACATATGTATATATATATATATGTCTACACATGCTAGGTTGCCATATCATATATACACCGAAAAAGTAATGTAAAACATGTGTTCATAGCTTGTTCTTGTAGTAAGACTATTAGGTGTATCATGTTTATTGTTGTTGCTATTTTCTTACTCTGGCATACATATATATATATATATGTGTGTGTTATACATAGTGCAACTATTTGGTATATCTGTAAATTACGAACAGTGTATATATATATATATATATGTGTATATATATATATATACCCTACATACTGTTTACATATATATGTCATATTACATATGTATGAAGTTTGTGTACACAAATAAGCATGTTTTGCGTGCTTTATACTGCATGTTGTAGGTAGTACATTACAGAGTACGTATATGTATATAAATACAAATATAAATAAACTTGTATATCATGATACATGTAGTATTACATGTTGAAATCTATTATGTTGTATTCGGTTAGATTCGGCCAGACCAGGTTAGACTACATTAACATTGTCCATATCAAATATAATATGTTATGTATTATATGCCATGTGTCATACGCTATTTAATAAGCATTCACTGACTACACAAACAAATACCATATAAATTAATAAATATAAATATATATATATATATACATATCTATTTATACATATATATATATATGCTTATGTTACATTCTGGCCTTGATATTTTATGATCAATACTAAATTTTGTATGTTACATATTATGGAAGCCATCTCAGCTGTTATATGTTGCATATTACACAATATATGTTATGTGCTATATACTGCACATTACATTTTATGTACTGTATATTGGATACGATTGGCTGAATTTTCATATGTTATGCATTATATATCATATGATATGCTGTTGTATGTGTTAACTCACACATCTTCTATGCTGCATACTATCTCATATAGCTTATGTCTACATAACAAATCATATATATATATATATATATATATATATTATATATGAAGTACCTCATATTAGATGGCATATAGTGTACCCGTAAATTTTGTATTATATATATGTATACACTATATGTATACATAGTATTTCAGTTCAACAGATTATGTTACAATAGATGATATACGATATTGACGAAACATTGAACGCAGGACCCCCATAGTGCTACCGAACTGTTTGGCGAATTATGTATTATATGGGGGTTTCTGAAAATAGGGGACCCTAATATAGTACCCTAAATAGTAGGATCCCTATTATAAGGCCCCCAAAATAAGGTACCCCTTGTTTTCGGAAAGTCGCATATGAACCCATGACCCTTCAGCCGAGCCCTGATTTCCCGAAGCCTAAACGCGTGGCAGCATACCTTGCAATGCAGGCATGTGGCCGCCAGTTGCTCTTCGTCGTGAACTCCCATCAGGCCGCTCATCCTCACTTCAGAAGGGTGTACGGTTGACGTTCCAGGTTAGGGTTTAGGTTTTAGGTTTTGGGGTTTAGGGTCTGGGGTTTAGGGTTTAAGCTTTCGGGAGCTCGGGGTGGTCTTTCCGCTGAACCGGCTTATGGTAGAATATCATTTGAAATTCAGGCTTCTGTGTATTCGGACACCTATCGGTGGTTCAAGCATCTTGCAACCATTGTTGCCTTTACGGTGGGGCTAGAACACCAAGACTTGTGTGCAGTGCCTGACTGATCTTGGCAAGATCAGCGAGCAAACTCGTGACAAGTTCAGCTCTGGGCTGTTTCGGAGATTGTATCGCCGCAACGTTTTTTGAGGTGCATGCGTAAAGTTCAGCGACGCCTAGCAAGTGTAGCACTGCGGCGGAGATTCATGCCAGATCGAATCAGCAACAGTTACACTATACTGAATACAAAAAACGCTACTAACTTAATAAAAACGTATAAAACCGGAGCAACATACTAGTACTTTACTACTAAAGGAAGACAATGAGATATGAAAATATGATAACCCCTCCGAGACGGCAATATCCCTTCGAGGAAGATTCCCGAATGAATCTTGGGATCCTGAACAAGGCATTGGATTCAGGGTACTGGGTTTGAGGTTCGAGGGAGTGTTTAGGGTTTAGGGGTTTAGGGATTTAAGGGTTTAAAGTGCTGGATGAGATCTTTATGATATTGCAGTCTCCGGGTACCCTCAACCTTTATGCCGTTGTAAGAAAGTCTTTGCACTATTGTAAACGTACATTCTGGAGCGTAAACCCTAAACCAAGACTGGGAGACACTCACACGCAACCCTAAACCCTAAACCCTAAACCCTAAACCCTAAACCCTAAACCCTAAACCCAAGCACTGCGACTGCGCGACCCGTTCGACAAAGGAGGGGTGTTGACTCCTCCTGGCCTGGGATTGGCAGCAAGGGTTTAGGGTTTAGGGTTTAGGGTTTAGGGTTTAGGGTTTAGGGTTCAGGGTTTAGGGTTTAGGGTTTAGGGTTTAGGGTTTAGGGTTTAGCCTTTAAGGTTTAGGGTTTAGGGTTCAGGGTTTAGGGCTCAGGGTTTAGAATTTTTTTTAAGTGCAATGCGCCCCTTGGGTTTAGAGTTTAGGGTTTAGGGTTTAGGGTTCAAGGTTTGGGGCT